TTGTTTATTGTACATTTTAGGTATACAATACAGTTATATTTATCATTGAAGAGCGTGTTTAAGGAATTAAGTAAATTCTGATACAAGTTTAAGGTAAGATTTATGTGTCAGTTTTTTCTTTGGAAAAAGTGAGTTTGGCATTTGTTTTCCAGAAATTCGTCAAGGATATTTTAAGATTTAGATTTTGAATGGCCCAAAATGGCTGTGATGGTTGTACTGCTTTCCTAAAATGGGGGAAGTATTTTCAGTTCATGCAGATGTTTTGGAGATGACATGTGTGACAGTTAATTATGACTGTCAACTTCATTGGCTTCAGAGACTCCAAGGAGACTTGTACACTTCTGAGTGTTTGGGTAGGTCTCAGAGGCATAACCGTGGGATGTATCTGGTTCCTGGCTCCTTCCTCTGTGGCTCTTTCTTGCTCTGTCTGATTCCTGGATGCCAGCAGGGAGCCTAACCCTAACCCTTCTTCTACCATGTCCTTCTGCCATAATGTTTCTGCCTTGGAGCCAGCTGACCATATGGACTGAAACTCTGAAACTCTGGGTTAAAATAAACCTCTTCTCTTTTTAAGTGGTGTATGTTGAATATTTTGTTCCAGTAATGAAAAGCTGACTACTAAAATAGCTAATGTATTTGGACCAGCAGCTTCTCTTAAGAAGGTGATGATCTAATTTCTAAACTTACAAGTCTACCAATGAGAGTTACTAGCTGGACATATTAGTATATTGTTGAATAATAATTTTCTAAAGATTATTACAAACATGTCTATTTCAGAGTGGAAAAGAGGTTTTCTAAATGAAATGTCAGGCAGAAACTGGGATCTTTTTCCTTTCTTCTCTTCTCTACAGGGACTAGCAGTAGAAAAGCCTGTTGTGACTTCAGACCTGCTCTTGCCTAAAACAAGAAGTGCAATGTGTTCCAATGTTTCTACCCTGGGAATGATTCAGGTATAGCCATCTTATCACTCCTCTTCACACTTTATAAGCTTTGAGAAAAAAATATTTTTTAAAGGAAGGAAACTGAACTAAATGATAACACTCTCTTCATCTCATTTAAATAGTTATGACACTGTAGGTGTCCCTGACTGCTACCATTTCTGCTTTGAGTAGCCAGAGTTTTCAGCTGTGTATTCTGCTCAGGGCAAGGATCCTCCTTTATTTTTTACCTCATTCCAGGGACTATGAGGAAAGTTTGGCCTTTTCTGGCTCCTTCTAGAAAGCCAATGGAACTGGAAAGGAAAGGAGGGGATTCCAAACTCCAACATGCAACAGAATGTGGGATATATAAGGGTCCCCAATGCTTTCCACAAGAAAGTGAGGTATACTCATACTGCATCTTCATGGACTTGGTTGGGCATGAGGATGGCCTTAATGTCCATGCTCTGATTATGCTTGATGCTCCACAGGCCTAGACGAATGGGATAACAGATGGAGGTTCATAAGGATAGACTTGAGAACTGGCCAGGTCTCTGCCAGTCCCCTGTGGAAAAAAGTAGTGGCTTGGGGAAAGGTATTTTGTAGTTACAACTGCCATATTTTCAAAAAATCCAAACTTTTATTTGGATGTAATTCTTCAGGTATCTTCCTTACTTCTCTTCAATTATGTTTGATGTTTTCAAAGTGTCCAAGAATCCTAATTATATATCAAGTTCAGTCATCCCTGGGGTAGGAGGAGGGTGCATAGAAATATATGTAAGCCAAATCAGTTATGTTACAATAGTGACTTTTCCTGCAAACACTGCTAACACAATCTGAGAGTCTTCCTCCAACTCCTTGAATCTTCAAGCAGCTCTTGAGGCAGGTGATATTAGTCCTGTTTTTATACAGGAAGATAAAGGCTTAGATGCCTTGTCATCCTTGTCTTACAGTTAATGGAAAGGAAATAAGAAATTGCATTTAATTTGTGTGACTCCACAATTACAATGGATGGTTGCCATATATAATCTGACCTCTTGACTAAGGTGGGTAATTCAACTCCCTCCTTTACTATTGATCCACAATAATCTAGCTTTAATCTTCATTTGTCTACAGTAGCAGCTAGCTCCTGTAACAACTCCAGTTGGCAGACCAGTGGACATTTTTAATCCTTTACACAGTCATTTACATATTAATAACTTGAATGATATTCACATGCCAGGCATAATAATCTAGCTGGGATATGTTGGGAAACAAATCAGATATGATCTTTTACTCAATATTTCAGACCCAGATGGCAACAACCAGTCAGGAAGCATCAGCCCAGTAGAAGGAGCCCAATGTACCTGATTAGGGTGCCAACCAAGTCTCTCTTTTAATCCTCTAAGAAAAGTAGCTTTTAAAGGTTCAATCTGCCCTTGATCCTGTTTCTTGGTTTGTAGTTCTTTTCTGCATATAAAGCCAACTGACTTTGCTCAGCTTATCTAAACATGCAGTTTATCTCAGAGGATGAGATGTTGCCCAATCCTAGAATTCCTGATAAAACTCAATTGATCTTTACACTAAATTTTGTGTATAGTTTAGGTTTTTCACAGAGAGCAACAATGATTTTTTTTTTTTTTTTTTTTTGGTACCGGGGATCAAACTCAGGTCCTCAGCTTGCGAGGCAGGCGCCAGAACCACTGAGCTAAATCCCGGGCCCAATGATTTTAAAATATATAAATATATAGCAGTAAAATGGACTGGACTTGGTGATAAATTGAGGAGACAGAAGCATCAAAGAGGATCTCAGATTCCTCACAGAGGTGACCAGGTGGATGGCTGTAGCAGCCTGGAGTATCGCAGATGTGAGGGTAGATTTAAGATGAGCTCAGTTTTTTAATGATAACAATGAATCATTATGAAGCTTGATATTCCTAGAAATAGTTTTGGTGGTGTTAAACTTCAATATACAAATAGAAGTGAGTTGCTCATGTTCAAAATCCTTTGTGGCATTCAAAGTTCTTTACAGTGTGGACCTAACCTATCTCTCCTGTATCATCATGTGTTCTTTTTAATTTAAAATGACCTATACATTTTATTTCAAGCACACAAAATAATTCTTAAAGATACCTTCCCAAACACCCAAAACTGAAGTAGTTTCTCTTAGGCAGGCATGGTGGCACATGCCTGTGAGGCTGAGGCAGGAGGCTTGCAAATTTGAGCTTGGGTAACATATCAAGAACCTGTCTCAAAATAAAATAATAAAGAGAACTGGAGAGGTAGCTCTGTTGTAGTGTACTTGTCTAGCATCAAGAGGCCCTGCTTTCATTTCTCAGTACAGTACTGGAAATAAAGGTTCTTTAAAATTAAGCCCATATAGGCTTCTTCATTATACTTGGCACACTTGTTAATGTATATAACATGTATAATAATTTGTTTAATACCAGTCACTTCTACTAATGTATATACTATGAAGGTAGGAACTTGTGGTGTGCATGGTTTCCCAAGCATTTGTCAGAGCTCGACTTACAAATAGTCCATGCCCTAGGATTTCTCTGTACTAACAGTTTCTCTGCACTAACAGTTGCTTTTCATTGGAAATACCACTTTCCCTATGGGAAATTCTATTTCCTCTTCAAAGACCAGATGAAATGTCATCTTCTCTGTGAAACATTCTATTACTCTTACAGGTAAATCCTTCCTTGGAACATGTTTCTCTACCCCTTTGCTCATATCATTTTCACTTCCACCTTAGTACAAATCTTGTAGTTGATAATCAATTTAGAGAGTGGTTACCTAGAACAGGTGAAGGTGTGGTTTGATCCTCTGCCTTGTGAAAAAAAATAAATTGACCTATATATTTTCAACTAAAATTTTAAAAAGTCTCAAAGTACAACATCTTTCCCGAATGCCTAACTCTAATTGTTCAGGACTTGTAATCTATCATCACCTTGGTGTTCACCAGGCCGCTCTGAAATTTTTAAGAGCTAGACTCTGGAAATGAAGTAGAAAACTTTTGTGATAGTCTAAGCAAGGAGTGAGGAGGACAAGAGTGAAGGTAATGGGAATGGAAAGTTGGAAGCAGACTGATGAGATGGTTCTCAGGTAAACTGGGGAGCTAATGATTATAAAGACAGAGAACAGGGTTTCAAGGAATGATGACACCAAAGATCGTAGTCTGAGAGTCTAAGTGAGAGGAGGGCAGAATGGAAATGGAAAAAGAACATTCAGATGATAAAGAAAAAATTTAAGTCACATTTTGTCTGTGGTCAGCTTGCTGAAAGGGCAACTGAAACAAAGCTGATGTCAGATAAAGGACACAGGCATCTCGGCTGCCACAAACTTTACTCAGCACTCACACAATTAGATGCCCTGCTTCACTTCCTTACAATATTGAAGTTATCTGCAGGATTAGGACACATGTGTGGTTCACAGTGCGGCATTGTACCCAGATTTGTTTCTTGAGCTACTGTTACTCTGTCCATGTAACCCACTAATTAGCAAGTTGCTCTTTATTCTCTAGGTTTGAATCTTCCTATCTGTAAACGGGGCAAAAGTGGAATTAAGGGGTGGCTGTATTGAGATGTTACACCTTGCATCTTACCCATGAGGTTCAACAAATATTTGTGGAGTGAAAGATGACCGAGAAACATCCGATATCAGAGTAGCAAGGGCATTGCAGTAGGGGAAGTTTCTAAATGCAACAGCTTTTAGCTCCCTCTGCTCACTGTGGCGAGAAGCTCCAACCTGCAATTCTTGGCCTGCATTTATGCTAAAGGTCTGGCGGTATCTTATTCCTTAATTCCTCTGTTCGGAGGCTGCAGCTCCAGCTCTCTCGGCTACTGGGGTGGTCCACAGACCACAGTAGCCCTAGCTAAGTGCCAGGCAAAGCTTGAGCGTTCTCTGGTATCCTAGCAACCGGTTAACTTCCAGTTTGAAGACCTGTCCTGGTTGGCCAGAGGCCTTGCTTCCGCCACGGGAAATGCGCCGGCGCCTTGCGAGCTAGAGGGCGCCTGTCCGGCGGGCGTTACCCTGCAGCCTGCGAAAGTCCTGCTTCCTGGCCCGCAGTTGGGGTTGTTTCTACTGGGGTGGCGCCTGTAGGAACTGTCGGGCCACAAGGAGCGGGGCCGGGGTGCGCTCGGAACATCTGCGGCCCAGCTGCGAGAAGTACGGCGCCAAGAGCACTTTGGAGCCGCCAAGCTGGAGCTGGAACTGGAGTTCCGTGGGGCAGGGGCCCCGGCTGCTGCGCAGCGGCTCCTCCAGGCCGCGGCCCCGGCGGAGAACGAGCCGCAGGCGGGGTCGGGCCCCAGGCCAAGCGCCCGGGCTGAGAGCGTGCTGCGCTGGCTCACCACCGCCGTCCTGTACGCCGCCTTCCTGGGGCTGGTAAGCAGCGGGCAGGCGCCTGCGGGGGACCTGACCTTCCCCTTTGGAGTCTCTCCTTGGACCCTGCACGTTGAGCGACCTTGAGTGCATTAAACTAATTGGCCAAGGCCTCAGTTTCGTCTTCTGGAAATCGGGCACAGTTCTGATCGTGGAGGGTCCTCATCCAGTGTGAAACTGATTTCCCTAATGTGTTGTCCTACTTCAACAAACCTTTCTGTCTCCTGGGTGTGCTGGGAGACACAAGAGGGATTGCCCAGGACTTTAGCGGCTCCCACCCACGCATTCAAGCGCCAGTTCTATTTAAGAATAAATTTCAGGCTTCAGAACCTTAAATGCTTTCCTTCAGCAAAGTGTAAGGTTACAAGTGCCTTTTACCAAACTCTTTTTGCTAAATCTGGTGATTTTTGCTTCTGCACGGTTGGGAGAGCCAGTCTTGAGGATAGTCACTCAGGTCTTTTAGCATTTTAGAGAATCTGAGCCCCAGTTGTTTATGGACTATTTTGATGGGGGAGAGGATGATAAAGATATCGCTGCAGAGGCTTGGTGAGCTCTGCTTTTGTGCCAAGTCTTCTCAGGCCTTTGAAGGAGTGAATAATTTCTTTAGAGCCAGTACTCAGGCTTCTTTCCTGATATCTAGCCCTTTCTGTGGGTTTCTGCACACCTTGGTTCCTAGTCCGCTGACTTCTCTGTCTTGGACAGAGGATGAACTGTGCCTTTGGAGCAGAACAGTGCAATCAGAATCAGTTTTTCTTGAAATGTAAATGAATTAAGATTTTTAAGTCGACGAATGTCTGAAAATGATTTGTAACCTAGTTCTAACACATTGTTCTAGGTAAATTTTATTAATATTCTGTGCATGGGTATGGAATATTTTCTAAGGAGGCTTTGAAGACTAGTCCTGATGACTGAATTTTCTTTGAAAAAAGTAGATTCAGAAACATTCTAATTGTTGTATCTCCTGTACATTGTCTATGTGTAGTTCAGAGAAAGGACCCCATGTGCACCAGAAATATTGTTTCAACATGTAATATGGGAAACTATTTTGATAATTTAAAAATTTAACATCTAAATTCCTATATTATTTGTACATGTAATGTATTTCAAAATAAAGCCAAGTATTGTGAAAAGTAGTTTTGTCATCTCTTATAATGTCACCTCTTATAATGTCACCTGTTAATGTCAAAGTCTTTTAAAGTACTGTTCCAAAACTAAACAGAATTGGAACAAAAGCCAGAAGAATTAAATAGCTTTTTTTTTTTAACTTGAGAATTGAGGCTAAAGAAAAACACTGGAGCTTTTGGAGCTTTTGGCGACTGTGGAACAGGAGAGATCCAGCCCTACCAAGGACGTCGGATCTCAACGTCTTAAATGTATTTTCAGCCTCTTCTCCCCACCTCTAAGCCCCCCTATAAAGTGATTTGCCCCCCTCCTCAAAAAAGAAAAACACTGGAAGCCTATAGTTCTAGTATAGTATTAATAGTAGTCTTCCTCTTTCCTGTCGGACTTAAAGTAAGCCCCTATTTTTTTTTTTTTTTTGCATGCAGAACCAATTTACCACTTAGACATAATTTTAATGTTTGTAAGTAAAAAAGGGTTTTTTTTGTCTTTTTAATTTTTAGGGAATGAGTGTTGCTATACTGGGACCCACGTTTCAAGATTTGGCAAGGAATGTAAACCAAAATATCAGCAGTCTTTCTCTAATTTTTGTGGGCCGTGCGTCTGGATATTTGTGTGGCTCTATGATTGGTGGTATTCTTTTTGACTGTTTGAATCATTTTATAGTTTTGGGTAAGGAAACACCGATTTCTGCTTGTTTGTGACTGTTGATGTGGTTTTTTTTTTTCAACATTGGCTTTGAATATGAAAAATATTAGCCTGCAGAATAGTCGACAGCTGAAATGGATAATATTCTGTGATCTCCATGGAAGCTGGGTTTCCCTGCTATCACCCTGACAGCTGTGTGTGTTAGCCATCTTTAGCTTTCTAGGCCTTTATGTATTTAGGGTACATTATGTATTAGGGCACACTCCAGGCTGGCAGACTGGACATCCAGAAAGCTCTGGTTATGAGGGTGTAGTGAAGATCTCCTAGGGCCACAGAGATCAGAATGAGCCTCTAGCACCTTTCCAGAGTCTACAACCTTTGGATTGAAAATGAAGGGGCAGGGAATGGTGAATGAATGGATACAAGCTGCATTTTCTCCCTGCTGCCTCATGCAGTGGTGACCCTTGACTACCTTACTCTGGAAACATATGGCAAAGATTTAAACATATTTTGTTTTGATTAAGTTGCTGTGTTTAAAGAAACTTCCTTTGCAAGTAAGGGGAATAATTTACTGCTGATGCATAAATAATTTCTCTTCCAAAACAAGTTGAAAGAATGTATTTCTTGTGTTTCTCTCCCTTTTTCCCAAACTGATTTTAGTTTTATTACAAACTACTATACTGATTATATTTTGTTTGCCTTTTTACATCATTATATGTAAAAAATTTTTATATATTTAAATGGGAAAATTCTATAATATATAAATACATTTTGTCTTTTTTGCTGTAAAACTTTTCCTTGTGGTATAATTTATGTTATTAGCAGGAATAAAATTATGCATGTCTTAGTAATGTATATTTTATATCCTGTAAGGGATTATACCAGATTTTGATGAAATAATCATTTGTAGCAGCTGCAACTTATTTTTCATTTTGAGAAATCATTATGATGTTTTGACACATGACTTTGATTAATATAGTTTTTCATGGCTGGTGTTTCACCTTTTCTTCCCAGGGGTGACACTGATGGCTACCACAGTTGGTCTTTATCTCATTCCTTTTTGCAAAACTTCAGTATTACTGATTGTCATGATGTCTGTCTTCGGTGTTGCAATTGGTGTCCTGGACACAGGTTAGTGAATCTTCAGTGTTATCTCTAGGAGTATGTGTTTGTAGGAGAAAAGTAAAGTCACTTGCTCTTAAAATGATACAAACTTACTGAATTGCTTGTGAGTCCCAGTCAGAACCACCCTTCTAGTAACTACTCTTCTTGCTAATTAATCTACCAATTTTTGAGTCGCCAACTATGAAGTGAATTTGAAGAATTTTACTGCATGGGAAGTTGCTGATTTACAGTATTGAGGCAGGGAAGGATTCCTTCCTTGGGTAATCACAGTGCAGGTGAATAAGCTTGCATTTTGGAACAGATTTTTAACCTTCTTAGAAGAAATGATTTAAGGATATAAAATACATTTTTTTCATTCAGTTTATTGGTACATTTTAGGTGTATAATACAGTTACATTCATCATTGGGATCTTGTACCTGTACATGATGTATCTTGGTTCTTATTTTTTCCCCATTGCCTGTGTGCCCTTCACCCCCTCCACCCTTCCCTATTTACAAAGACTGTTTCCATTATTTTCTTTTTCTCATATTTTCTCTTTTCCCTTCTTTTCTTTCCCCTACCCTTCCCACTTCCCCTACTCCTTTAGACCTTTTCTTCCTATTTCACAATATTAATTATACATTTTGATCCTTATTTACACTTTTTTTCACACCAGAGAAACTATTTGGTATTTACACGTGTGTCCTATTTATTTCACTTTAAGAGTAAAATACATTTTAAACCAATATTTTGCTGTTAAAATACAGAAGCCACCATCCAATTTAATGTATTCCAGATTTTTAAAATTTTATTCAGATACATTAATTATACAAATATACTCTGGATTTTGAGGTAAGGGAAACCTATGGCATGTATTACTATCCTTGTATCTTTTCTCACGCAAATATTCTACCCAACTGTAGTAGAGCTTCTCCTTGTGTCATCATGTCTTAGAAAACCTGTTAAAAACATTGTTGATAATGGCTTATTGCCAAATCTAGCATCCTAGGCCTCCTTTCCCTGCTCTAATGTTTTTTGATAGATTGTGGAAATGTTTTATACTCAGTCTTTCTTTGATGGTAAACTTACAGAAATATATGCTTGTCAGAAAATAATTTGATGACAAAAAGGATAGCCAGTGACCAGATGCTCTGCCCTTTGACCTTGTAGTTGTTCAGACAGTATAAAAGCAGTTCCTGCAAGGTGCTGTTGTGTTCTGTAACAGGCACAGCAGAATCCTGGAGTATTCAGGTTCTTGATTGTATATTTGCGTCTGGTTTACAAGTATGTAAAATAATATTCTTCAGGTCTCCACAAGAACAGATAGCTTTGCAAATGTGACCATGATAAGATTTTACCTGGTAAATATATGTGTATTTAAAATATTTATAAATAAATAGGTCTGTGACTATTGCATCCCAGTCCTCTGTTGGCACTGGTTTATAAAAAGCCCTTGCTAAAGTGCCTACCCCTAGGAGTATGGTTTACTAGCTTGTTGCATTCCATATATGTGTATGAGTTGCTATAATGCATAGTTTTCTGGTGACAATGGGTTGAAGTTCCTTAAACACAGAATTGACTCAGATGCAATGGTTGGTAACTGAGAATATTACAAAGCTGCTACCATGTAATACAGACATCTTCTCTCTGATAATAATAATTTTTTTTTTTACTAAGTTACTGTTTAACTTAGTTTCTCTGTCCTTCATTGGTAGGTGGGAATGTCCTTATCTTGGCTCTATGGGGGGACAAAGGAGCCCCACATATGCAGGCCCTGCACTTCAGTTTTGCCTTGGGTGCCTTTTTGGCTCCTCTTCTGGCAAAATTGGCCTTGGGAACAACACTGTCCACGGAAAACCACACAGAGCCTGACCTTCACCCTCCAGCCCTCAGCCAATCACCTGAAGCAAACCCAGGCCCTCTGTTTGCAGCACCTGATGACTTGAACTTACTGTGGGCTTATGCTTCTGTCGGCATGTACATTTTTGTAGTTTCTGTCTTCCTGTTTGCTCTGTTTTTTAAGACACCTTCAAAGCATGAAAACCCAACAGCATCTGCTCAGTTATCTCGAAGAGTTAAACATCACAAGGCCCTGCTCTGTCTCCTTTTTATGTTCTTCTTTTTTTATGTTGGAGCTGAGATAACCTACGGCTCTTACATTTTCTCATTTGCAACCACCCATGTTGGCATGGAAGAAAGTGAAGCAGCTGGGTTGAACTCCATCTTCTGGGGGACCTTTGCAGCCTGCAGGGGCCTGGCAATCTTCTTTGCTACATGTTTACAGCCTGGAACCATGATTGTGTTGAGCAACATTGGCAGCCTGGTCTCATCTTCATTTCTGGTGCTTTTTAACAAGAGCCCACTTTGTCTCTGGATAGCAACTTCAGTGTATGGGGCCTCAATGGCCACCACCTTTCCCAGTGGTGTTTCTTGGATTGAACAGTACATAAGCATAAGTGGGAAATCTGCAGCATTGTTTGTAATTGGTGCTGCACTGGGAGAAATGGCTGTTCCTGCATTAATTGGAATTCTACAAGCACAGTACCCAGATTTGCCAGTAGTTCTGTACACCTGTTTGGGGTCAGCAGTATTCACTGCTGTATTATTTCCTGTGATGTATAAATTAGCCACTTTGCCTCTGGATCTTCAACGGAAAGACAACAGAAGGAGTAAGGACCAGAAAGCTTTGCTAAATCACTATGAAGAAGACAATGAAGGACAGGATGAAGAAAAATATAATGAGATGGATTTTGAAGTTGTTGATGTGAATGTTACAGTGAGGCCCTCTGTCATACAGAGATCTGGAAATACTTTGATGGACCCCTGAACTGACAAATCCAACTATTTGCGCTCAACTGCAATGATGTTTGAGTCTTCACCTAATACTGGCGATTGTCTTATTTAATACTTTGCCAGAGACCAGGAGAACATGGACTTGCATTAGAGAAGATGGATTACTTAGTGACTTCCTTGAATAATTGCCACTTCTAAGGAATCTATTTGGAACAGAGCCTTAGCAGGTTTCTGTCTTATTGCTTTATTGGTCCATCTCTAACAAATGCTAAAAATTTTATAATATCAGTTGCTTTTATACAGTAGAATTTGTTATGAGACTAGTGTTTGACCTGAGCCCGAGTAGGTAATAGTTTATGGTTTGCACCTTGCAGAGCATATAGAGAAAGCTTTTTGGGGGGAAGCTGGGTGGAGTTCTAATAGATCAAAACCATGGAGAAGTGGAATGGATTTGCTGAGGAAATGAGTGGCAGCCATACTCTGCTGGGGAGTTGGGTTGAGTTGTTTCATGAAAGTACATCCTTGGAAAAAAAAAAAAAAAAAAGAAAGTGCATCCTTGGAAATAGATGTTTTTATTAATTGCTTTACCTTTTCTGTATGGTTGGACCAAAGAATGCTAATAATTCATTTCAGTTTTTACTTCTATGAAGAGAACATAGATCAGGGGCCAAGGGATCTGGCTTCAAGAGATGACTCTACCTTTGGGTCTGTATTGCATCACTTAACATATGTCTCATTTATCTCAATTTGTGAACTTTGATGCTAGTGGTGAAAATGGGATGAGTTCCAAATTGAGAAACTTAACGGGTTTTAAGTTTACAAGATGTCTGCTACAACACCCCATTCTTCATTTTAGATTCTATTTTTGTTTGCCTTTTGGCAGTGCTGGGGATTGAACCCAGGACCTTCACACTGA